AAAAGACTCTGCCATTATCTGGCATAATCTGATCAGGGTAAGCGGTGCCTTTCCTGCTGACCCTTTTTGGTTTGAAGTGAAAATACATTGGTATTTAACATTTTTTAGATTTTCCTTTCCTTGTAAGTGTCACTTATTCAACCCTCAGCACCAGAGAGGGAATCATTGTGATCCCAGACTTGCCACTGATGTGATGGGAGCAGGAATCCAGCCCTGTCTACTCTTGGGAGCACACCGAAAGTAGGAAATTATTTCAGGTTGAAGAAGAAAAACATCACGTCTTTGTAAATACAGTATCTTCACAGAAATAGTCAACACCAAGTAATTAAAAAAAAATTATTTCTGTTTATGTAATTCTTCCAGAACTGAATTTTCTTTCAAGGAAACCAATGCTTCATTTTAAAAATATCCTGTGGTTAAAGGATAATCAAATCAGTTTTCATATATTAAAGACTAAATCCTTCATATATTTCCATTTCATACTTGTTCATATGATTCTTAGAACTCTTTCTCTTACCAGCATTTAGTTGATTTAGATTAAGCCCTGTAACTAATGCCAAAAATTTATTCCTGCCTTGAAAAGGGATTTTGTAATGTTGGCTTCGTATCTTTTTGTCTCTCTATGGCTCCTTGTCAAAACTCTACTCTTTACAAGTTGTTGGGGTTTTTTTTATTTCAAAAACCCCTCTTTTGCAGCCTCAGTCTGGCACCCAGAAGTCAGGCTGGATTCCTCCGGACTCGTGCATCCTCCCGGCATCTCTGCGAGCCGCCCAGGCCAACCTCCGCCCTACCTCCCCATGTGCTACTCTGTTGGCTGCAAAGTGCTCCCAGTCACCGTGAGCAGAGCTGGGTGCGAAATAAACTTCATTAAACATTTTGCTGGTGATAATCAAGCCACAATAGGATAACAGGAGAAAAAACAGTGCCTACCAAGAAATGCAGTTCAGATGTTCCTTCCTCCTTTCACCTCAGCCAGCACCCAAACGTTTCGTGTAACACGGTGACAGTGACTCGTCCACCAGCTCCACCTGAGGTCCCAAAACCTGATCATAATATTTCAGTGGCGTATCCACAAAGCCATTGCTTTTCTCTTCCATCCTTCTCGTGTCTCTCAATGTTGTATGCGACCAAAACATTTACAGTATGATTTTATTTTAGGATCCTTTCCATTTTTGTAAATAAATCAAATGAATGTTCCTTTTATACAGCTGTAATTCACCCACATTGTTGCAGTAGAGCTTATTATCTCATTTACATTTTTAAGTGCTTTTCAAAGTGTAGGATATCTGGGCTGGAAAGCAAAACATTTCATTTCTTTGTTCTCAGGCCAACACAAAGCACTTCCAAGGTCAGGTATAGTGTAGACTTCAACAGCAAACATGTTTACATGGCATTTGAAAGCCAGTTTAACTGAAAAAAAATACTGTCTTTCTAACAGTGATGTGAGTCAACTTAGCAAAGCTGAGGGACAGGGATTAATTCTGTACCTGGAAAAATTTAACTAAGTAAGTTAGGCTTTGTTTTTCCATTCAGGGAAAAAAGCCTCTGCCACTTAAAAATTGGCCATTTAATTTTATTTTTTTTAAAATCCCTTTTTCCACATCTTTGCAGTTATTAAATGTAAGCTCTGATACTCTTTGGGCAAAATCTGACGCTCTGAAGCCATAGAATAAAACCTGCATTTCTAAACAAACCAAAACAAGAACCGTTGTTTAATTTTACAAAAGAGATGTTCTGAGGTGTACCTGGGTAAGTCATCTGCTGTTTTCGAGAGTATTCTACATGACAAAAACTTCTCTGTCAGATGCAGAAAAAGATTCGAGGGTACTGGGTGGCTTCAGAAACAGCTAGCAGCATTCAGGCTCTGGCCACTGCATATGAAGCTTTTTAACAATAGAGAGAATTTTCAGTGTGATCTTCAAAAGGGCGCATTATTCCTGACATCCATCATGATTCCTCCCAGAAATTCAAAATCGTGAGCCACAAACTTGCTTACTTCTAATTACTATTTTCAGAACTATTCATGCGCAGCAATCTACAGCAACCATGAGATTTTGATGTTACTTTTATTTCTTTGCATGGCTTTAATCAAATACTGATCTTTTGGTTTCACTTTTTTGTCCTTGTGCTGCTAGGAAAGCTGAAATACCCAAATGAACGTTCGTTAATTACTCATGGAACATCCTTTGTAAACAAAACTAGATTCTACAAAGCGGCCAGCAGCAGAGCTTGTGTGCAACACAGCAATAGCCCAAAAATGGTCGTTAGGGGTATCAGAGCAGTTAGTCTTGTTTTCTGCCATCCCAATACAAAACGTACCAACCAGTTACGGTGTGGTTGGAAAAGTCTGTGAACTCAAACAGTATATTCTGGTTTGGTCAATTGGTGAACGGGTAATTATAAGACTTGATAGTTTGCTACACTGTGAGATGTGCTCTGGTAAAAATACCTTATTTCTGAGTTGTACTTAAGACATTGTCTGCTCTCGTAACGAGACAAAACATGGGCGCTCCATGCTGGCAAACACTCTCTAGAGTAGGTGGACCCAACAAAGGCTGTGCTATCTGAATTTCCCAAATTAAATTACTTTAAGGTGCATTGCAAACCCTCGGATTTAAAGGAATCTCTCATTTTATGCTCTGCAAAATATGTTTCTCTGTGGTGAATAAGAAAAGTGAAAATGGAGAAATGAAGGAGTGGAACAGCAGCGCACCAGTTCTCTCCTTTGCCACCGTGTGGTTGCTGTCTTTACCAGGAACAATTTGAGATCTCGTTTCATGTTCAGTACTTGCAGATTGGTGTGATGGAGTATGGTATAAATCTGTTCTCCGAGACAAATATGTACACATACACATTCCTGTGGATACATGCTACCTCTTGACCGTATTCAAAGTCCTGTGAAAGGGTGAAACCTGCTCTTGAGCACAAAGAGGGAGTCGGGGCAGGATGACTGATGTGTAGCAAGGTTTCCTTGTTTTTCACCATGCCAAGCTATTTTTGGACTGGATAAGCTGATCCTGTGGAAGTAGCAGAAGACGGGTCATACTTTGTAGTTTATCCAAAACGTGCTCTGTGACTGTTCTGAGAGTTGTCCTGTGCTGGTTGTGTTTGGACGCTTTGGAGTTAGGGCAGGACTTTTGTCAAATTAATATGGTCTATGGTGATCTTCCTGATACATGGAACAGCCCTGCTTCTTACTACCTTTCTACACTGCATGACCTGATCGTTTTAGCTTTTAAATCAAAGTATGCTTGTTTGCGTTTTACCTTACCAAGTTAGATGTACAAAAAGGAATCAAAAAGCCTACAATTCACACATATATTTTATTGTATTAATGCAAATTCCTGGTACTGCAAGACTTGTTGAGTATTGAAGACCGGTTATATATTCAAAGCCTGGATTTCAACATTTCTCAGAAGCACTGATAGCATAAAAGTCCCTGGGCAGATTTGAAGTTCATGCTTGGGTCTGGTTAAATTTTTTGGCATCAGAACATGTAATAGTCTTATAGCTATAAGACTTTAAAGTTAATGCCTGGCATCACTTCAAAACAATGTGCAAGATCTATCATAAGTAGTCCTCTTATCTTATCTCAATAGCAATTTTATCCTGTAAATGATTTGAGAGTACAGTATTTCAGTGCTGTGGAAAAAAGCAAGTTTTTTTTTTTTCTGTTAAATCTTTGCACTGCAAGTACTAAGTTTCTTTCGACTAAGAGTCATGGACTTCTTGGTCTCTCCTCCCCAGGGCGCTCTGTGCAGCTCAGCTCTTTAAAAAGCCACACTGAAGGCACCTGCGGTGTCACTTGTAGCATATCTCGGGTGCGAGTCCCTCCCCAGGTCCGGTCCTGACTCTGCGCCACGCTTTTCAGCCGATGGGTAGCAATGCCCTGACTTCCTGGCATACAAAAGATAACTCAAAATATTCCCTTTCTGCCGCCACAGCCGCCTCTGTGTTGATGTCAATCTAACATCCACATTGTGCACTTTGCTTCGAGTCAGCACTTGCAGTTAACAATGCCTTTATTCAAGCTGACAACATAACTAAGCTTTTAGTAAGTGTGTAAGTAAATGTTAAGTGTGTATTCAAACATTCAACAATGACTAGGAAACTTAAAAAAAAAATCTTTGAAACTTTGTATTGTTTGTTTGGTGTGTATCTGTTAGAAATAGCACAGACTATCAGTTCCTTGGGGCATGACTGTTCTTTTGTTAAGCACATAACAAAAAGATCAAGGCTCTGAGGGACTGCCGTAATAAAAATAAATATATAAGAAGAAGCATAATGACAAAATAAATTTGTCAATGCATTTTATGAGCTCTGTTTAGAACTTTCTGAACTAAATAAAGACTGGATAGTTGTGGTAAAGTGACATGATCATAATATTCCTTTTATTTATTGCCATTTATACTTCATTTGTAGATCACATGCTAGACTTTCCTATGGGGTGGGAGGGGAGCCCCTCATCTCGGCGGGCATCCCGTTTCAATAATATGGAATACATTTTCGCTGCAAATTCCAGACGTGGTTTTCAAGAGAGAGGATTATTCTTCTGGCTTAAAGGAAAAGTTACTGGTACACTGCAAAAGTGTTCCTAGGAAGCACAGGTTGTACAAATAAGATGATAACAAAAATCTGCGACATTTGTGATTGCGAATGCAATTGTTGCAATTGCAACGTTTCCCTTTCAGTCTTTGAGGATATTTATTACATTCTTAGGGAGAATACTTGTAGCCTATAGTAAGATAGAACTGCTGAGATTTAATGTCTCCTGTTCAATCAACGGTCCTACCTGTGCAGAATACCTTTACTCGACAAGGGCGGCCAGACGGGGTCTGTCACCTCTCGGCAGCTCTCGTGTACTGGAAGCAGCTGTAGCTGAAGAGCTGCACAGATGCTGTGCTGTTTTCTTAACCAGCTCATTGAAAAAAGTTACCTGTAAGTTTTTCTGCCATCCCGTGTTTCTGACGTGTGTTTTGCATCCGTTGGTGTTGTTTCAGGCCTTGCAAGATGAAGTGGAAAGTTACCGCATTCAGGTGCGGGCTGCAGAGAAGAAGCTGCAGCGCAGGGAGCTGGAGACCCATGAGCAGGTACCGGGTGCTGTCCCCCCGTCCTCTTCCCTTGGGCAGGGAGGTTTGATGTTTAATATCTTGCTTCAAAGCAAAAGCACATATTTTCCTGCAAAACTTTTAGCTAGCTTTCTTTTCTGGGGTTTTTTTTTGGTAATAAAAGAGAATTAAACTGTCTGAACCCTACAGGCAAATACTTATCTCATGCTCTCTATTTCAAGCTGGTATTTCAACTATTCTAGCTGTTAAATGATGCATTTATTTTGAGCTGACTGTACTGTTTTAGTAGAGGTTTCTGAGACTATTCTAACCTGTTCTTTAATGGCCTGTATGAAGAGAATTATAATTGGACAACAACTGAGCTAAAAATAATCTTTATTCCTGACCTTATGCATTCATTGTCCTAGCATGTTGTCTGTAAACAGGTCCATGTGATTAATAGTGCTAAAATTATTCTGGACACTCTCACTGAAATCAGAGATTTCAGCAAAATACTGTATGTAGTTTACAGACTGGTAGTGAAATGGAAAGTCAATGATCTGCATTCAAATCAGATTAAATTGAAGTGTTCAGAAAAATACACAAGAATATGGATTTATGGATTTCTAGTACAAATTAGTTTTTGCAACATTTGAGAACTTTATTTGGTGCTGAGTCAAACTATCCATAACATAGATCCTGTGTAAAGTATTTCTAAATCTGTACGTGCAGGAATAGTAAATTGGAGTGGTTGTAGCAGACTAATAATCAGAAAATTAAAATATTTTTGCCCCAGTTGTTGTCATCCTACTTGCACATGGGAACCCTCATTCACCCTTGGTTGTTACGTTCATGTATTTCCTCTCAGGAGAGTTTCTGATGAGCTGTTCTACTCTCTTCCCCCTCTACCTCCCAAAGGCAGGTGTTGGCCAGGTCCACTCTTAGCTGCAATGTTTGCAGCATTGGAGGCATTTGGTGTAACGAGTGAGTTGGCCTACAGGTATTGCATTTTGGCACCAAATTAGCTATTTGGTCCGTGGTTGTCCCTCCCAGGGAACGGCACTGACCTGCATGCTATGAAAGTCCGCTTCCAAATCTCTTCGTTTTGAATTTTTTTTCCCTTAATCTTTGCCACTGCCATTTTGCTTTTTTCTGACCCCTTTTGAGAGAGGATGCAGCAGAAGAAACAAAAAAATGACTTCTGAAATACAGGGGTAGAAGGCTAGCCATGCAGCTTCACAGGGTGGTCCCCCCTTTCTGCCTTCAAGGTTTTCTCTTACATGAGCACCTGGTCCAAACCAACCTACAGGACTATCCTGTCCACACTAAATTGAGGAAGGACTAGCTCAGCTGGTGATGTCCCGTTCCCCGGTATAAATGGAGCAGAAATGTTGTTCACATGACACTGCACCATCTAGCCTAGAGCTTTTTCTGCAAGGTGGTGATGCATTAGCAGACTTATGGTAATGCTAATATCTGAGTTTGTCAACGGGCTTGTCTCTGCCATTCATCTGTTGGGACTTTCTGAAGAAGCTGGAGCCGTTGAGGATATTTTTGGTTAGGTGACTTTGGTCTATTTTGCAGACAAACATTTTGGAAGTTGTTAGTGTGTCTTCTCTGTGACTGGTTAATCCATCAGTTATGCTTATCTCTCCAGAAGAAAAATGCAAAAATGACAGCTCTGACATATTTCCAGTTGTTATGTCTAGGCCAGGCTACCTGTAAACATGCTCATCAAGTATTAACAGTAGCTAACGACTCATCAGCCCATCAGGGAGTTAAAATATTTAAGGCAGTAACTTAGGACTCGCTTTCTGCTTTTACCAAGCGTTGTCTGAATCGGCACTGCATAAAACATCAAAATTTGCGCTGGCGCTATTACAAAGGACACTTTTCTGAGCTTTTACGTGTCTATAAATAAGGAGGAGAGAGGGTTAAACAGCTTCTGTTTTTCATTAAAAGGAAAAATCTTGTGTTTTGATTCTATAACAACAACAAACAAATGAATGAGACATGAAAAAACATTTTGTTGTGCTTTTAATTAAAAGTAAAAAGCTGTTTCTCGTTATGGCTTGTTGGGTGGTATCTTAGTGCTCCATGTTTGTCTTTTTTTCAGTGCAATGTCCTTATAACTCTTCAGTCTCTAAGAGTGACTGACAGATCCATGTACCTTAACTCTGTGTTACAGTAACCCTCTGGTGATTGCACAGAGTTAACCTTTTTTTATTATAATTATCCAGAGAGACAAACTATCCTATAAATAAGGGGGTGGAAGCACGTTAGAAGGACTCTGATGGCAAGCCCTGGGCTGTCTAGAGGCGAGCAGGGTGCTGCAGTTGAAGACGAGCTGTTGTTTTTATGGAGCTTTTTCATTCCAATGCTTCATGTTCTTGTATGAACTTGTGTTTACTCCTGTTTGCTTTCTCGATCCTCTTTACAGTATGAGCAGAGGCAATCACGTTGTATCTGTGTTGTTTCATCAGTGGTGCAGTGTGGCAACGGTACCTGAATGATGAGTTCCAAGCTAGATGAACATACGTTTGTCAAAAGTGCTTGGGAACTTCTCCCACTTTGACTGACCTAAATAACTGTATCTTTTGCATAAAGGTTGTCCTGTCTCTGCTAAATATGGTTTTCTAGGACAATGGTCCATGTGTTCAGTAATGCTACACTTCTAGACTGGAGTCTCAGAACTGTATCATCTTTCTTCATGTCAAAATGCTGAATGCTTCCTTCAAAAATTAGATGGCCACCCTCTTGAGACAGATGTAATTGTGCTCATGGAAAGTGGCAAACTAGCAGTGTAACTCAGGCTTTATATATAGCTTTTTATATATAGGTTTTATGATATATAGTCCCAAGACAGTCTGGGAAGGTTTCTAGGAAATTTGGGTGTGTCCAAACCTTTTCCTTGCAAAGCAATGCCAAAATTTCTTATATCTCAGTACTATGTAACTCTGGGAGCTGGCTTCCCGTCACCTAATGCCATTTGAGTTGTGTTCCTGTATTGTACAGTCTTGCACTATATCACTTGGTTGTCTCCAGCACATGCCTAGATGTAATGTAAGGCAAGATTTCTGATAGAAAGATCTTTCATTCTACTAAAAGTGTTTCTCTTTCTTGAGTCATATGGCTTTGCGCAGTTGTCAGTCATGGTTAAAAAATCTAAATTGTTCATCCAGCAGACTTTACATCCTGTGAATGTGTGATTAAAAATGACGCACATCACTGGGAGCTTAAGCATGTGCCTTAATGAATCCAGGAATTTAGGCATGTGCAACAAATTTTGCTGAATTGGGGTCTGTATAAAAATTAATGGTAGTGATCTTCTTGCTTTATTACCTTGTTTCTCTAGAATACCTCATTTCATTTCAAATTCCTTTTTGTAAGGGTAGTCACCCCAGCTCAGTGTACTAAAAAGCTCCAAGAATCTCTCTTTCGAGAATTACATGCAAGAATTTTTTCAGGAAAAAAAAACCAAAACGCAACCCTATTCTTTTCATTCCTTGTTCTAATGTTTTTAACTATAGGGGTGGATTTAGTACGATATAAAATTTCTAATTTGGGATAATAGAGGGGAAGAAGTTCCTTGTGTTCACAAACAACTGAAGTAGCAACTCTGTAGATACTCAAAACGTAGGAATATTCCTCCAAGCAGTCAAGTCACAAATAGAGTCTTAAAGGAGAGAGATTCTCTGAAGACAGAAAATCAATTATGTTCAATTCATGAATATTACTGAGGAAATGAAGGCGAATACCAATGTAGATTTCCAGCCCTTTAATTTCTTTTTTCTCAAATAGATTATAAAAAAGGGAGAAAGGAGTTATCTGAATAAGGATGTTGTAGAAGTATTTTGAATAAAATGGAACAGCTTAGTTTGTTAAGTGGATTTCACTCATGTTCAAATGAAAACAGGAGTGATAATTGTAAAAGAGCTATGATTCAAAAGCATTCAGCGAGTTTTCATTTTTAATGTTCATTATTCTGACTTGCTCAATTTTTTATGACTGCTGGATATTTACCACATTCAGCCTAACTCACTGTTTCCATGCCAACTAAATATATTTGTTCTCAGATGAATGCTGTGATGCATCATTCTGAAATTTTAGTTGCTGTGTAGAGAGAACTTCTAACATTTGCCACACCTTCTTGATGGGAATAGTGCTACCGCCTGTAGATTTGTGGAGCTCTGAGTAGAGAATCAGTAAGGCAGCGACGAGCAACCTATGCCTATGTCCGGGGTAGGGTCCCAAATAGTTCTTAATACAATGATGACTGGAAGACTTGAGTAATATTAATGTCCCTTTAGTTTAGGGCTTTGGGTTAGTATTTCTTTTCAGACTCATTTTTAAAGATATGACAGAGTTTTAAATGAAATCAGATAAATTCACAGAAAATCTTTGCCCTCACTTCCATCATCCTGTCCTGCTGTATATGCTCTGGAAAAATCACATGGAAGCAGTGGCGCTTCCTCCATCTGGAGGTGGGTTAACCACTGCAGGGAGGTTGCTCCAAACGCAGTCTCTCCCCTAGTACAGGGCTTTTGGCTCAGGTGCCCCAGACAATTGTGAAAGCCAGGCAGTGCTTCTGGGACCCCTGCCTTGAACTTCCAGACTTTCTCAAAGGGCTGTCTTACTCACGACGTGTTAGAGTCATCTAAAATCAGGCTAGGGAGCTCTAGGATAGGTATTTAAAAGTAAAAGCTTTGCTTTGTGGCCAGCTGCAGGTGAGGAGGCTTTAGGCAGCCTTTGTTTTGCAGAGCCGGCAAGCGCTTTGGAAACTGAGAAATAAACAGTCAGCGAGCACCGGAGGTGGTGATGAAATCCTGCCATTTGCTCTGGTGGCTTCAACCCATGTCACTGAAACGCTTCCAAAATTTGCCTCCAGAGACCCGTTTCTGCTCCCACAGAAATGGGAAGCTTAGTCTAGATTTGAATGATTTTAACCACAGAAGTGATTCACAGAGAGCAGCCCTTGCCCTGCCGCTGCCTGTGGAGCGGGTGATTAACCCCTTGGGCAGGCAGCGCTGGCACCAGGGCTC